GAGCCTGGTTGTGCCGGAGGCTTCTTTCTGTTAAAAGGGAGTTTGTCCTTCCTACTGTTGCCAAAGTCGTTGCTCATCTTTGGATTGTTGGATTTTTCTCTGTATAGGGAGTGCAGAATTATTAGGCAAGTTGTATTTTTGAGGAATAATTTTATTATTGAACAACAACCATGTTCTCAATGAACCCAAAAAACTCATTAATATCAAAGCTGAATGTTTTTGTTAGTATTACTGTGCATAATTATTAGGCAACTTAACAAAAAACAAATATATACCCATTTCAATTATTTATTTTTACCAGTGAAACCAATATAACATCTCCACATTCACAAATATACATTTCTGACATTCAAAAACAAAACAAAAACAAATCAGCGACCAATATAGCCACCTTTCTTTGCAAGGACACTCAAAAGCCTGCCATCCATGGATTCTGTCAGTGTTTTGATCTCTTCACCATCAACATTGCGTGCAGCAGCAACCACAGCCTCCCAGACACTGTTCAGAGAGGTGTACTGTTTTCCCTCCTTGTAAATCTCACATTTGATGATGGACCACAGGTTCTCAATGGGGTTCAGATCAGGTGAACAAGGAGGCCATGTCATTAGTTTTTCTTCTTTTATACCCTTTCTTGCCAGCCACGCTGTGGAGTACTTGGACGCGTGTGATGGAGCATTGTCCTGCATGAAAATCATGTTTTTCTTGAAGGATGCAGACTTCTTCCTGTACCACTGCTTGAAGAAGGTGTCTTCCAGAAACTGGCAGTAGGACTGGGAGTTGAGCTTGACTCCATCCTCAACCCGAAAAGGCCCCACAAGCTCATCTTTGATGATACCAGCCCAAACCAGTACTCCACCTCCACCTTGCTGGCGTCTGAGTCGGACTGGAGCTCTCTGCCCTTTACCAATCCAGCCACGGGCCCATCAAGACTCACTCTCATTTCATCAGTCCATAAAACCTTAGAAAAATCAGTCTTGAGATATTTCTTGGCCCAGTCTTGACGTTTCAGCTTGTGTGTCTTGTTCAGTGGTGGTCGTCTTTCAGCCTTTCTTACCTTGGCCATGTCTCTGAGTATTGCACACCTTGTGCTTTTGGGCACTCCAGTGATGTTGCAGCTCTGAAATATGGCCAAACTGGTGGCAAGTGGCATCTTGGCAGCTGCACGCTTGACTTTTCTCAGTTCATGGGCAGTTATTTTGCGCCTTGGTTTTTCCACATGCTTCTTGCGACCCTGTTGACTATTTTGAATGAAACGCTTGATTGTTCGATGATCACGCTTCAGAAGCTTTGCAATTTTGAGACTGCTGCATCCCTCTGCAAGATATCTCACTATTTTTGACTTTTCTGAGCCTGTCAAGTCCTTCTTTTGACCCATTTTGCCAAAGGAAAGGACGTTGCCTAATAATTATGCACACCTGATATAGGGTGTTGATGTCATTAGACCACACCCCTTCTCATTACAGGGATGCACATCACCTAATATGCTTAATTGGTAGTAGGCTTTCGAGCCTATACAGCTTGGAGTAAGACAACATGCATGAAGAGGATGATGTGGACAAAATACTCATTTGCCTAATAATTCTGCACTCCCTGTATGTATTATTGTAGAGTCTACAATATAAAGCGCCTTGAGGCAAATGTTGTTGTGATTCGGTGCTGTATAAATAAAACTGAATTGAACTGAGTAGAGACCAATGAACCTGTTTGACATTAAAATTATTATGACCAAAAACTTAAATCCTCTATTTATTGAAGCTTCAAGTAAGAACGGCCTGTCCACATAGCCTATTTTCACTGACAAATGTAACAATCAACTGTCATATATTCAACACTGCACGGTTTAGCTAGTGAGCCACTTTTTGCCAATGTGTTAATTACACTATTCAAGTCAACAAAATGACTTTCACTGAGCAGAAGTAGGAATTACAATAACAGATACACCTGAAAAAACAAAAACAAAAAAAACCACAGAGACTCTAAAGTTATCACCCATGTTAAAAGTAATATCTGCTACAGGCAGAAAGCTTGTGTGAGTGAAGAGAAATAAAGACATCTGATATTGTCTCCCTCTCTTTCCTTATCACAGAAATAACAGCGAGATATACAAGTTTCTACTTTTATATCTTGTTAGACATTCATTAGTCTGTTTCACACAACCTGGACCATTACCATAATATGAAAACACATCACTCACACACCTTCTCCTTCACATTTATGGCAACATAAAACAAACATGCTGTAAGCGTCCGCATTCACAAACAGGCTGACTCAAATACAGACGGAAGAATACATCCACACAGCACTAATGATGTCTGAACACACCAATTGTTACTATTAAAGTCAGACCGAGTTGTGAATGAATCATACTATAAAAACTGAAACGTTCCTCGAACTGAGACTTTAATAAGCCTCACGTCTCTGAAAACATATGCACATAGATAATGGATGATAATGAGTTAGGGGACAAAGATTTAACAACTGATATCAAGAAAGTGTCACCAGTTTCATTTGTACTTCATAGCCATTTGAGTTTCGCACAGAAAATTCATGACTTTTGTCAAAATTAAAAGATAAGACGCATATTAACCAGACCTCCTCAATACTACATGTAACGACAGCGGCATACAAAAAGCACCATAACTAAAAGACTGTTTAAAAAAAGAAAAAAAAGAAAAAAATAGAAAAGCCAAACAAAGTTTTACGTGGCTCTCTCGCGCTCTCTCTTCCTGGAGTAGCGGTTTGATGTAATAGTGAGTAATAACACCATTTCTGTGCCAAGGGCAGGCGCAAGGTCCCATCATGTGTGCGTTTTAATAGCAACACATTAAAATGGAGCAGCTTTCATTCTGGGTTCAGGACACGTAGGGCTTTCGTGACCACAGGGGCTTCAACAAAGGGAGCTGACGCAACGGCCTATCAAAGTTTGCCGTGCCTTGGATCTCCACAGGTGACACGACTGTCTTCACGAGTTGACAAGATTATGCTCAAAGAAGCCGCGCTGCTTTTCTTCGCAGGCGATTTTAGAAACTGTATATCACTTGGAGGCAGTTTCGATCAGAAGACTTTCTTTTGGCTGTCGCTGGTTGCGGCTGGTTGGCATTGGAGGCTTCTCACCCCTTGTTTTTCCAGTGATGTCTCGTGCAGCACTGCATGTGCTTATCCTTACTTACTTTGAAGTCTCACATTTGCATCGGTGGAATCAGTGGACTTAATTATCTTCAGAGCAGAGTTACATTTCAGTTCAAACAGCAAGTGAAAGATAAAAGTTTTAGTAAATGTTTTTTCGCCTACTGTACACCTCAGGAAATAACGTGAGAAAATACAGATCTCTCTGCTGCTGCTTTGACAAAAAGCATTATGACCATCAATGAGTCAAAAGTGTAGTTTCCACAGTTCCTCCCCTCAGAAGCTTTTGTCTTTAATTCTATAACTTTATTTTTAAAAAAGTGAAATAAGTACTTGTAATTCTAATGGATTGAAGATCATTAAAGACCGAGTGCGTTGCAAACAACACAAAATTCCAGATTTTTCCAATGCAAACTTGTTGTGTAACGTATACACACATCAAAAACGTTGTGGGTTTTTTTTTTCTGAATAATATCATCCCCAAGAAACACAGGGTGAAAAAATGAGTTTGAGGCAGGGACCCAACACTTTCTCACTCCCAAAGTGTAACATTTTACGCTAAGTGACAAACCGTTGATATGTTACACTTCTGGGCACCTGACACGTTCATATATTACGAAATCAGAAAAATCAGGAAACAGGAAACTGCTTGGAATGAATACAGAAGAGGATTAGGGCCACTGGAAATAAAAGTGGGAACGTCTTTTTTTTTTTTCTTCTTTTACAGAATTCTGAGAAAAAAATCTGAGTTCTAGAAAAGAAGAAAAAAACTAGATGTCCCATAGTCCCATAACCCGGCGTGTAGCATAAGAAC